CATGCGGCTTTTACGGCCCTGGGTGAGGGTGTCCATGCTTTGAGTACACAGAGAAGAATAAACCCTGAAACCACAGAGCTTACCCTCCCAGAGACTTGACCCCAGCTCTGCCTCCAAGCCCCCAATTATGTAGCCATTTTGTCATGTATCTCCATTTTCTCTGGATTGTTCTAGATCAGTAAAAGCGAGGGGCAACCAGCAAGAGGTGGTCATTACAGAAAGCACCTGGCTCTAGAAGTCCTGCCTGCATGGAGCCCCTTTGGCCAAAGACCATGCCCCTCCCAGGGAAGGAGCTGCCTCTTCTCCAATCAGAAGGTGGAGGCAAGCTGGACAACTGGAGGACTTGGAGTGGCAGGGGCTGGGCAGCATGGCCGTCTGCTGTGGCTGCACACTCTGTTTTCCCAGCCATGGTCAGAGTCCCTGCCATGCCCCAGCCCTACGGAAACCTGCAGCAAGCAGCTGTGCCCAGCCAGGCTGTCCTCGGGTCCACTTCATTAATGTGTCCCCTCTCTTGCCAGGTTCACAGCTGCATGCCTTCACTCAGCCACTCCAGCTGGAGATACAAGTTCTAATCTCACCCCCACCACTTTTGGTCCTCATCCATGTAATGCGAATGCTCATGGATCCTACCTCCATGGTATCAGGGTTAAGTGATCTTAACACAGGCCAGAGTTCAATAAATGGAACTGCTAACAGGTCACCAGGTACAGGTGTCACCAAAATCCAATCCCAGTGATCCTGGCCCAGGCACCTACCCCAGCAGGGGCTGCGTTCGCTCCAAGAAAGAAGCTGCTTTTTGTTTTTGTTTTTGTTTTGTTTTGTTTTGTTTTGTTTTCGGAGGGAGGTGGGGGGGCTTTTGTTAGAGGGTGTATGCACTCACCAAAGAGAGACAGAGAGAGGAGGAATGGTCATGCTGCAATCCTTCTCCGTCTCTCCCTCCTTTCAGGAGTTCAGGCTCGCACACACACATGCACACACGCACACGTGCTGGCGAGTTTCTCAAGACTCTGGGCCCAGGGCTTGAACTGCTCATTCTGCCATGTGGGATCCAGTCTTCTTAACCACCAGGCCCTATTTTGTTTTGTTTTTAATTACTAAATGGCACATGCATTCGCCAGAGAGGAACAGACAGAGAGAAAGGGAGAAAGCAACCCCCAAGGGCATGGCCATGCTGTAATCTCCTCTCTCCATTTCTCTGTCCTGTCAGGATTTGGGGCTTTCACACATGTCAGGCGTGTTTTTCAAGCTGCTGGGGCAGGGATTCAAACTGTGGTCAGTCATGTGGAATTCAGCTCACTGAACCGATACCGGGCTGGCCAGAAAGGACGTATTTTCATCGCCTCCTATTTACCCATCAGTGAGGGAGGGCTTCCTGCCCTGTGGTTTTAAGGATGGCCAAACATGCAATATCAAACCTGGGCAGACGAGATTGCCAGTGACTTGTTACTGACGTGTATTCACGGCCCAGAGAACAATGATGCTGCACACCATGCAAGCCACTCAGGAATTGCACGCGGGATCAGAGTGGGCAGCCAGGGGCTGGGGGAGGCAGGGTTTGTGGTATCGAGAGGGTGGGGTGACTTGTGGTTCCTCACTTGTCTGACTAATTCTGCAGAGAACTGAACCCCACTAGGGTACAAACGACGGGAACTGCAGTTGGTCCCCTTGATAAGAAGTATTATTTGGCAAGGGACCTTATGAATGGGAGAAAGTCGGAGGGGAACTGGCATTAGCCATTAAAGACCTTCCTCTTTCAGAAATGCCAAGGCAGCGTATCTTTTTTTTTTTTGGAGAGATTTTCACTGTAGGGCGCGTGCGCTCGCCAGACAGAGACAGAGACAGAGAGACAGAAAGCGAGAAATCACCCCCCAGGGAGGATGACCACGCCGCAATCCCTTCTCCTCCATTCTTCTCTCGGGATCTTGGGCACGCATGCACACGCGCCCGGCGTGAGTTTTAAGCCACCGGGTTCAGGATGCGAACCGCGGTCGACTACGTGGGAGTCCAGTGACATAGCCATTACGCTAACTGCTGGTCCCAAGGCAGAGAGTCATAGCAAGCTTTCATTTCAGGCTTTACACAACAGGGCACCCTTTCATTGCTGGTCTATCCAAAGGGGACATCTCTTCCTAATTCGTGCAAAGACCCACCCTGTGCTAGCAGTCCAGGCTATGAAAACTGCACGATGATTGCGCAGACGGACATTCTAAAGATGAGGACGCTAAACCCGAGAGAGGTGGATGGAGTGACACGCTCACAGACACTCAGCCGAACCTTAGGCCTGATTCCCAGCACAGTAGGCTCCTATGCCTCATATCAAGCCCTCCATTCTCCTGCTCTCTGTACTCATAAGGTTACCCCCCAAACCCTTCCCTAGAGATCTAGGCCCTTCAGACAATTGCCCACTTGATGTCTGGATGACTCAGGTTTTCCATTGCCCGCACCCCAGTTCACATCCTCCGCACCTCAAACACACCAGTTCAATGCATTTTACCTCCTCATCACCCTCAAATCCTTCCGCTCTGTGCTGTGGTTGCCACCCCATGGGTTATACCCTCATATTCAATCCCCAAACTGGTTCCTGATGTTCACACTGTCCTCCACACAACAGCCATAATCCTTATTTGGAAACACAATTCAAATTAAATGCCCTGGCTACTTAAAACTATTTAATGATTTATGATAAATATCACACGTCTCCCCGTACCTGGTCCGGTTCCTGGGGTCTCCAGCCTTATCTTACACTTCAATAGATTTTAAAAGGTTCAAATCATACCAAAAAAATTCTCTGGCCATTATTCTACACATTTTGACATTTTGTTTTCACTCGTTCAAAATATTTTCTTTCCTTTTTTTTTTTTTTTTGAGAGATTTTTTGTTATAGGGCGTGTGCGCTCACCAGACAGAGAGAGACAGAGAGACAGAAAGCGAGATACCATCCCCCGGGGGGGATGGCTACGCCATAATCCCTTCTCCTCCATTTTCCTCTTGGGATCTTGGGCATGCACGCACACACACCTGGCGTGAGTTTTTTTCTTTTCTTTTTTTCTTTTTTTTGAGAGGTTTTTCTCTATAGGGTGCGTGAGCTCGCCAGACAGAGAGAGACATAGAGATAGAAAGCGAGAAATCACCCCCCAGGGGGGATGGTCACGCCGCAATCCCTTCTCCTCCATTCTCCTCTCGGGATCTTGGGCACTCACGCACACGCACCTGGCGTGAATTTTAAGCCACCGGGTCTGGGACGCGAACCACAGTCGACTACGTGGGAGTCCAGCGACATAGCCATTGTACTAACTGCTGGTCCCTCATTCAAAATATTTTCTAATTCCCTTTGTGATTTCGTCTTTGACTCATGGGTTATTTAGGAGTATGTTGCAGAGCTTGAGAGGCTCCTGGACATCTTTTCATTTACTGATTTCTAAATGTATGGACTGAAGCTAAAGCGGTAATCAGAGGAAAATTCATATCATTAAGTCTTTATGTTGAAAAAGAAGAAAGTCTCAAATCGTATACCTCAGCTTCTACCTTATGAAACTAGAAAAGGAAGAGTTCATTGATCCTAAAGTAAGTAGAGAAAAGGAGATAATAAACAGGCAAAATCAGAGATACAGAAAAGCAATAAAGAAAATCAATGACACTTAAAGCTGCTTTCTTTTTTTTTTATTTTTAATATTTTTTTTTTTGGAGAGATTTTCACTGTAGGACGCGTGCGCTCGCCAGACAGACAGAGAGAGACATAGAGACAGAAAGCGAGAAACCACCCCCCAGGGGGGATGGTCACGCCGCAATCCCTTCTCCATTCTCCTCTCGGGATCTTGGGCACGCACGCACACGCGCCCGGTGTGAGTTTTAAGCCACCGGGTCCGGGACACGAACCGCGGTCGACTATGTGGGAGTCCAGCGACATAGCCATTACGCTAACTGCTGGTTCCCAAAGCTGCTTTCTTGAGATCAATAACATTTATAAATCTCTAGCCATACCAATCGGGAAAAAAAAAAAAGAGAGAGAGAGAGAAAGAAAATGTACCCATTATAATACAGGGAATAAATGAGGAATCACTTCAAGTTCTGCATCAAAATGATAATAATTGAATATTATGAGCAACATTCTACCCACAAATTTGGTCATTTAGGTGAAAATAACAAATTTCCTGAAGGACACAAACTACCAAAGCTCATTGAAGAAAAAATAAACACTCTAATTAGCCCTGAATGTATTAAAGAAATTTAATTTGCAATTTAAAACCTTTTCACAGAGAAAACTACAGACCCAGATAACTTCACTGGTGAATTCTGTCAAACATGTAAGCAAAAAATAATAGCAGTTATATACAAAATAAAATTGAAAAAGTGGTAACACTTCCCAACACATTCCATGAGGCCGGTATTACCCTGATACCCAAACTGGGAGATGTCACAGAAAAGAAAACTACAATTCAATATCTCTTATGAATATACACATGAAAATCCTTAACAAACATTTAGCAGGTTGAATTCAACAAAATGTGTTTAAAAAGGGCAAACATCATGACAATAGACTTTATCCCAGGAATGCAAAGTTGGCTTAACATTTGAAAATCCAGGTTAATAAACTAAATTATTAACCAACTTTAAAAAAAATCATATGTCTTAGTCCATTTTCTGTTGCTTTAACAGAAATGGAAAAAAAATTTTGAAAGGCTTTTTTTTTTTTTTTTGGCTATAGGGCATGTGTGCTCGCCAGAAAGACAGAGACAGACAGAGAGACAGAAAGTGAGAAATCAGCCCCCGGGGGGATGGCCACACCGCAATCCCTTTCCTCCATTCTCCTTTTAGAATTTTGTGCACACACGCACAGATGCCCAGCATGAGATTTAAGCTGCCCGGTCCAGGACTCAAATCACCATCAGCTACATGGGAATCCAGCGACCTAACCAGTATGCCATCTTCTGGTGCCAACACATGAACTTTTAAGGGACATATTCAAATCCTAGTGATATGTCCTCTCAATAGATACAGAAAGAGCAGCTGACAGAGTTCCACATCCATTTCTGAAAGACAACATTGAGCAAACTAAGGGTACAAGGGCACTTTCTTAACCTAATAAAGGACATCGCGCCCTGTATAGGGCATCTGATTACCACAGAGGCAGCGCTGTACTTAACGGTGGGAGTCGGAAAGCTCTCCCCTCAAGACCGGATGAAGGCATCGATCCCTCTCACCACTTCTATTGACTGTTGGCCCTAGTCGGAAAAGCAAAATAAATGAAAGGCATGCGGCACCCAGATTAGAAAGGAAGACATGACATTCTTTACTTACACCTGACAATTTTTTATATAGAAAGTCCTAAGGAATCTACAGAAATACATTACCAAATCTAATAAATGAGTTCGGCAAGAGTGCAAGATACGAGGTCAATATGCAATACCTGTATAGCCCTGCGTACTGGTAACCACCAGAAGGTGCACGTTCTAATGTCACACCTTTTCCTAACAGTATGGGAGAAGTGTGATACCCAGGGATAAACTAAACAAAAGGAAAGCAAGATCTGTGTGCTGAAGACTCCAGAACATTGTAGAGAGAAATTAAAGACTTAAATAGATGGAGAGATATTCGAGAAGACTCGACATTATCGAGCTGCCGATTCTCCATAATTTCATCTACACAGACAATGAAATCCCAGTCAACATGCCAGAAGACTTTTTTTTTTTAATAAATTGGCAAGCTCATTCTAACATCTCTGTGAAAATGCAAAAAATCTAAGTTAGCCGTAACAGTTTTGAAAAAGAAAAAAAAAAAGTTGAAGAACTTCTGTTTACTATAATAAAAGTAAGTGTTCAGAAATAGGGAGATGTGGGAACCAGCAGTTAGCGTAATGGCTATGTCGCTGGACTCCCACGTAGTCGACCGCGGTTCGCGTCCCGGACCCGGTGGCTTAAAACTCACGCCGGGCGAGTGTGCGTGCGTGCCCAAGATCCCGAGAGGAGAATGGAGGAGAAGGGATTGCGGCGTGACCATCCCCTCTGGTGGGTGATTTCTCGCTTTCTGTCTCTATGTCTCTGTCTGTCTGGCGAGCGCATGCGCCCTATAGCGAAAACCTCTCCAAAAAAAAATAAAACAAAAAAGAAATAGGGATATGCATATATGGATCATTGATTTTCAATCAAAGTGCCAAATCAACTAAATGAGGAAATTTTTTTAAAAAGAAAACAGGAGCAAATCTTAGCAACCTTGGCCTTGGCAAAGATTTCTTAAACCGGACAAAAAACTGTAAGAGAAAAAGATGGTATATTGGAATTCATAAAAACTAAAAACTTCTGCTTTCCAAAAGATAATGTGCTGTGGACCAATGTGTCTCCCAGTAGTTTATGTGTAAACTATTGACTGCCATTGTAATGGGATTAAGAGGGTGGAAACTTGGGCCAGCATGTGGAGTAGTGGTTAAGGCGCAGGACTCCCATGTGGCCAACCGCAGTTCGAGTCCTGCACCCAGAGACTTGAAATTCACACTGGGACGTGTGCATGCGTGACCAAAACCCCAAGAAGAGAATGGAGAAAAGATTGTGGCATGGCCATCCTTTCTGAAGGGTGTTTTCTCATTTCTTCCTCTCTGTCTCTCTGGCTAATGCGCACGCTCTAATAGGAAAAATCTCTGTTAAAAAAAAAAAAAAAAAGAGGGTGGAAACACAGTCGTGTTACAGTACTAAGAGATGTGGCCAAGAGCCAGGGCCTTTGGGAAGTCATCGGGCCTCAGGGTCAGTCCCGTGATTGGATACTCCCAGGATTCTAAGGAGACAAGGATGGACACGTGCACACACCCCTGATCTCGCACCCTAGGAAGTCCTCTGCCATGTGATCCAGCAACCAGATGACCTTCACCCTATGCAGCCCTGACCTTGGACATGAACTAAATAAACCTCTATTCTTTTAAAATTACCCAAAAGCAGATATTTCTTTTTTTGTTTTTGTTTTTTTGTTTGTTTGTTTCTTAGTTTTGCCAGAGGGCACTTGCACTCACTGGAGAGAGACAGAGAAAGAAAGAGAGGGAAGGTGAGAAAGCCCGCCCCAAGGGGAATGGTCATGCCACTCTCTTGTCTCCTCCACTTCTCCCTCCTTGTGGGGTTTTGGGCACACACACACGTGCCCAAGGGGTTTCTCAAGCCACTGGGTCTGAGACTCAAATTGCGATCAACCACGTGGGATCCGGCTGCCTTAACTGCCACACCCCAGGCTGGCCCAGGACGCAGGCATGTCTGTATTAGCAGCACAACAGACTTACAAAATGAATAGGCAGGCCCCAAACCTGGAAAAAATATCTGAAAAACACATATCTAACAAAGAATTTCTATCTAGAAAATGCCAAGAACACATATAACTCAACAATAAAAAGATAGTTGAATTTTTCAAATGGCAACAGGTTTGAACAGATGCTTCACCGAAGAGGATATATGGCAGCAGATTTGCACATGAAAAGACAATCCACATCATTAGGAAAATGCAAATTTAGACCACAAACAAAGGGCGGCCGGTGGTATGGCGGTTGTGGCAGCTGGATCCCACATGGCCAACTGCATAGCTTGAGTCCTGGACGCAGTGACTTGAAAAATACTCCAGGTCCACGTGCATGCGTGCCCAAATTCTAAGAAGAGATTGGAGGGAAAGGGATTGTAGCATGGCCATCCCTCCAGAGAGGGGGTGGGCTTCTCACTTTCTCTCTCTCTCTCTCTCTCTCTGTCATGTGCACAGATCCTACAGCAAATTTAAAACACACACCACCACACGCTACTAGAATGGCAAAAATCGAAAAGACCAAGTTTGTTGCTCACTTCGGGAGCACATATACTAAAATTGGAATGATACAGAGAAGATTAGCACAGCCCCCGAGCAAGGGTGACACACAGATTCGTAAAGCGTTCCATATTTTTAAGTCAGCATAAATAAATGTAGACAAAAGTAAAAAAGAAAAAAAAAAAAAAACAAGAGAGAAAGAAAAGATCGATCAAGTTTGGACAAGAATATGATGCGTGCAGGGGAGTGTGAAATGGGATAGCCACTTGGGGCCGGCAGGTGTCATGGTGGTTAAGGGTGCTGGCCTCCCACATGGCTGAGCTTGGTTCAAGTCCTGGACCTGGCAACTTGCGCTCTCTCTCTCTCTCTCTCTCTCTCGTCTCTCTCTCTCTCTGTCCCTCTCTGGTCAAATTGAAATAAATAAATAAAGTTCAATAAAGTAATTCTAAAAAAAGAAAAGAAATAGAATAGCCACTTTGGAAATGAGTGTGGCTCCTTCTTAAAAAGTTAAACACACACTGCCCTCGGCCCAGCCTGGTGGCACGGTCCGTAGCGTGCTGGACTGCATGCGAGAAGCCACACGGCCAACTGCGGTTGGACCCCCAGGTGGGCCTGAAAATCCTCGGAGCGCCCATGCAGGCACTCAGAATCCTGAGAAGCTCGCATGCTGGAGCAGAGACAGCACTGTGAGAAGACCCGGCACAAGGTTCTTCGCCCTCTTTCTGTCATGTGCATGCATGCAGTGAAGATTAATAAAAAAAATCGATAAAACAAACAAACAAAACACCATCCCTACCAGTCAGTCACTCCACTGCTCAGTGTTTACCAAAAGAAATGAGAGCGTGTGCCCACCCCGAATACTCAGAGCGGCTTTATTACCAACTGCCCAAACTGGAAAACTCAACCATCGATCCGCAGGTGAACAGACTAATTTTGGTCTACTACAATGGAATAGTCCTTCATTTTTTTAAAGCTGATTTCTTACACGAGAGTGGCAGGGTGAGAAGGGAAGAGAAGCCCTTCCAACTCACTCCGTGATCCCCCTGCCAGCCTTCCAGCCAGCCAGATCCACAGCTGCACACACCCAGCACGGACGGGTCAACCAGGAACCGAACCTGCGGCCGTCCTCATGGCTCTGGCTTCATCTGAGCAGCCCGTTAGTGCTGCTTCGCCAAGCTGGCCCTGGAATATTCTTTATGTAAAATGTATCTATTTAGACAAAATTGTAGAAAATGCAGTTATCCGTAGTGACAGGAAGCAGATCAGTGTCTGTCCAAGATGTGGGGAAAGGGGCAGATGAAGGGAGATGAAACGGCACAGGGAGAGATGTGGCCTCCCGGTGCGTGCTCAGCATGCAAGGCTGTCAGCCTGTCCCGGTAAACGGGCCGTCAGGTATGTGCAAGAGACCTTATCGATTAAAAGGTAGAATCGAATTCAAGAAGCGTCTTCCAACACACTTGCACGTGCCCACAACCTACCTGCTGGAGTAGCAGAGCCTTCCGAGGGCTTGCCGGCAGCCGCGTGGTCCTCCCGCACCCACCCGCACCCACCCGCCCCCGACGTCCTGATTTTCTCAGCAGCATGCCACCTGCTCAGCAACCTGCTCTTTGCTGACACCAGCATGGGCTCCTTGGTGGTCTGCAACTCACGCCTTTCACCACAATATCGTGTGTCTGAGACGCGTCACTAAGGATGGTGGCTGTGCAGAGCATGGACCGAGGGCAGAGCTGCCTTGGCGGGTGGAGTCCTGGGTGCAGGGGCTGCAGCCACCGGGGTGAGGGGCCAGGAGGATGCTAAGTCCTCTCCTGAGACTTAGAGGGAGGATGCGAAGGTAGCGGGGAGGCATGACGGGGAGGGGCTGGGCTGAGCAAAGAGCGGAAAGGGAGCCAATGGGGACTGGGTCCGGCTGCAGGGCCTGCGGGGACCTTACAGCTGTGTGCAGATGTTTCCCAGGCACGGCTGGCAGCTCAGGGGTAGGCACGGGGTGGTCAGAGAACTAGATGCCTACAATACCAGAGGTGACCAGTACGGGCCCCAGATATCTGGCAGGTTCCCAACAGATGAGCGGACTATGAGGTATTCACACCCCTGCCGCGCTCCGGGAGATCTGGTGGGATGGGAGGGCCCATCACCTCGCTAGTCTTCTTCCCCCAAACCCAGAGCCCAGTATGGTTGTGAGAGGACTTCAGACCGAAGGACTTTCTAGAAAATACCTGACCACTCCTCTCCACGACAGTCAAGGCTGTGATAACCAGGGCAGACGGGGGGCCTGCCAAGGACCAGAAAAGGCGTGCAGGGCCCTGGGTTGGACCATGGAAGGAGAAAAGGAGGTGTGCAGAAAAATGGCTGAAGTCTGAGTAATCTAGTGTTAGCTAAAAAGCTGTGCTCGCCTGAGGCAGGCAGTGCAGAGCTCAGCCCTCAAGGTGGAGGACGGTCCCTCAGGTCAGTCAGTCACTATTCTGGGGCTTATGGGCCCAGGGATTTTTGTGTGTTTGTTTTACCAAGTGAGAGATGTGTGTTTGATCTGAAACCTCCCAAAATATTTTACCTTGGCTCTCTTGTTTAAAATACAGACTGTGGGGAGACCAACAGGTAGCACAGTGGTTAAGACCATGGTTGGAGGCCCAGACCCGGCAGTTTGAAAATCATGCGAGGTTCACATGCGTGCATGCCCAAAGTCTGGAGAGGAGAGGAGATTGCAGCGTGGCCATCCCTGCTGGGAGTGACTTCTCACTTTCCCTCTCACTTTGTCTCTATTTGTCTTTCTCCAGTGAGCACATGTACCCTGTGGCAAAAACCTAACAAATAAAAATTCTAAGTCCCTGTGAGCTCCACTGCGACCTGGCCTCACCTCACACCAGCCTCCCTCTGGCTCCCTCCTGTCACAGTGCTGTGAACTTGAACTTGGCCCCTGCCCACCGAGGGGACTTTGGCCGGCTGTCTTCTGCTAGACTGCTCGTCCCTTAGCACATGGCCCCACATGTCCCCTCCTTGGCAAGGCCCTGCTGACGTCCAGCAGAGTGGCCCTCACCCCTGCCACCCCCTAGCCTCAATGTCTCCATCTGCCAAAAGCTCGACCCCTTTCTCAGGTCCTTAAGGATAGCCCTGATCCCCCCCTGCCAAGGTAGAGAGTGACCAAGAGTGTCCAGGTGCCCCATCACCCACAAATATTCCTTCCCCAGGCAAACACCATGAGGCAAGAGAGGAGACCTCTGGGTGGGGCACCCCCTGCCCAGCTTCTCCGCACTCCGATGTGGCATCATGTGGGGATGCCACATTCTTTGAGTCCAGGAAGCTGCGCACACCCTCCCAGGGCCCACCAGAGCCCTCTCTGGGGACACTTCCAACCGAAATGGAGAAAGCAAAGCAGCCGCTCCAGGGGGCAGAGCAGCAAGAGCTGACACGGAGGGTGCCGGCCAGACCTCCTCACGGAACCGACGATCCATAGTGAGAATAAAGCCAATGGAGACACAGACGCAAGGACAGAGCGAGGACACGCAGGGCTCCGGGCGACCCCGCAGCCAGAGGCCTCAGCCCCCTGGGAGCCTGTCCGTCTGCCTGAGCGCCTGTGAGTTGTGGCCGCTTCAGTCACAGCCAGAACAGCCGGGGGCGCAGCGCCAGTGGCGTGGGTCTCGCATGGAGGCAGGGGCAGGGCGCCCGTGGAGCCAGGGACTCCATGTCCTCAGGAGTCAGCCCGCAGCCGGCTGCGGCGGGGCCTGGGGGAGCTGCCTGCCTGCCTGGGTCTCCGAAACTGTCCTGGTGGAGTATCGCTGCCTTTCTAGCCAGTTCCATGCGGCATGTTGTCTTAACAGCTGAGAACTGAATTCGTCTCAGGAGCAAACTGGGCACAGGAAGCTCCCGCCTGGGCCACTGGGGGTGAGGCGAGTCCCGAGGACTCCCATTTTCGCAGGAGAAATGGCAGCAAAGGAGAGAACCGTGCAGTCCTGTGTGAGAAGGAGCAGCCGCAGGGGTGGGGAGAAAACGGAGAGGAGAGGATAGACGGGAGGCTTCCTGGTGAGGCGGCAGGAGGGCGTCCCGCCAGCAGGACTGCCCTGTGTCCACCCAGACACAAGCTGCTTTCACGGCCCAGGGCAAACTCACCCTGGGTCTCCTCGGACCTTAGAACCTGGGTGGATGGCATGGGTGTGCGTGGGCCTGAACGTGTGCATGCATGTTGTGCTTCTGCACTTGCACACGTGTGTGGGTACATGTATGTGTCAGCATGTGCACATGCAAGTGTGTGTCGTTGTGGCTAAAGGCCAAGGTCTGGCGTTCACGTTTCCAGGCTACTGATCATTTAGGATAGAGACCTAGGAAGAACCACAAGCCCTGTGACAGAGACTGCATCAGGGACAAGAAGTAACCAGGAACATGGCGACGCCTCCCCGCACCCTCACCCCAAACACCCTCCTGAATTACACCCAGACAGCATGGATGGGCAGTGAGCCAATCAGACTTCTTTTTGAGAGAGATTTTTTGCTACAGGGCGTGTGCACTCTCTGGAGAGACAGAGACAGAAAGTAAGAAATCACCTCCCGAGGGGGGAGGGCCACGCCACAATCCCTTCTCCTCTCAGGATTTCGGGCAGGCACCCATGTGTACCCAGTGTGAATTTCAAGCCACTGGGTCTGGAACTCGAACTGCGGTCAGCCATGTGGGAGTCCAGTGCCTTAACCACTACACCACCTGCTGGGACCAAGCCAATCATATTTTGTTCTCAAGTCCTAGTTCTCCTGACAACTACAATATAGATGTTCTTTCTAGCAAAAGAAGAGGTCTTTGTTAAAGCCACCAATCACACATTAGCCACATGTGAAAACATGAATCATATTTGACCCAGATTTTCACCAGCCTCTCTGCAAGGTGTAGCTCGGTGTCTCACCCTTCAACAACATCTATGCCGGTCCCATCTGACCCGGACCAACCCACTCCCCCGGAGCCCTTCTCAAGCCTCCAGAGGCCCCCCTGTGTTTCCCACAGACTTCCTGGTCAAAAACAATGATCAACAATGATAATAATTAATAACAACAGCAATGGGTATAAAGCATTCACTGTGTGCGAGGGACTGAGCTAAGTGACTCTATGCACCTGTTAATCCTCACACAAGTCTTACGAGATCCACCCGTTTTCCAGAGGA